GAAATGTTGAAATGTTCTCTTTAAGGGAGTGTTTATTCCAAACTGTGAAAAAAAAGGCTGAATTAGCCCTAATTGTGTATACACTGTTTACTTAAAAGGGCCCAAGGGCTGTATCTTTGATACATTTGTCATTATTTTCTCAGTTTATATTTGTTTATTCAGTGTTTATTTTCTCGTACTGATTTTCCAGATTTCAGGTTAAGATGACTAAAACTTTCTTTTAATTTTTGATTTCCAGAAATTAAATAGTTGATTCTGAACCAGTCAATTTACGTTGTGAATATTCGTCTGCTTGTTACTGCTGGTAATTTGACTTTAGGCGATTGTTGGTTCTGGGGTAGGGGCGTTCCCTTCTATGCTGCAGGACATTGTGAGGTTGGGGAGATATTTGATGGTTTAGGCCTGTGCTGTAAGTGCTGTAAACTCCAGGTTAGGCCCGTGACAATATAAAGCCTGGAGCCCTCCTCATTTTATATTAATCAGATTAATCAGAATAGTACGGAGCGTATTGAATTTGGAGGCAAGGACAAAGATCCTTTGTCACCATTCATCCAGAGCCACAGGATATTTAACCCCTATCAAGACGGGCATAAGTACCCGTTACACACAGAAAGACCGTAAGTTCCCCTCAGACATACATTCATATAAACTCCTACCCCTAACTGAATCGCGATTTGTTTAGCATCTCAACCGATTTGAATCTTCACATTTAAATCGATTTTCAACCGGCTCGCGGTTAATCGTTACATCCCTAATGTTTGGTTTAAGATTAAATTAATTATGAAATAAATCTAGAAAATTGTAGCTGTGGTGGAAAGTGTCAGATGCATTGGGGGAATGTGTATTATTAGAAAATGCTGTGAACGGAGGTGCGCTCACTCTATTGGTTAGTAAGACTGCAACTCAAGGCTGGCAGTCATGCATATGCTCTGGAACAGAGTAATATCGCGTCCATATCGCAGACTTTGCGATTAGGAAATCGCAACGTCTCAAATCGCGATTTCGATTCGATTTCGATTAATCGCACAGCCCTAGTGGGAATGTGTATTATTAGAAAAGGATAAAAATTATTTCACTATTTTCAGACATGCTGTTTTCCTGATTGGTTTATGAAATGTGAATAATGTACAGCAAAATTACTTTAGAATGGTATTTTGCATTAGTAAATATTTTTTTGCCATTTATGTTTATTTTCTTTATTTCACAAAATATTGTTGCATATTCCCCAATGAACTTCCCTCTTGATATGATACAGTTTACCAGTAACATGGGGCGAGTTTATTTATTTATATACATATTCTGTGGCCATATGTTATAGATTCATTCTTATGTTCATTCTCATGTTCAAAATTAAACAATTTTAAACATGAAATATTATTAGGTGTTTTAGTTTCACCTCTAATTTCTCCTCATTTAGGGCACAACTTAAAAACAGGCACATTTAACCTCATTCTCCCTACTTTAGGAATGGATTAATTTAAAGTCTGTTAAATGACTATTTCTTTGGTTCTTTATTGTCTTGCATTTTCGCATATTTTACAGAGCTATTTCATCGTTATGGGGAAGGATATTCCTGAAGACTGCTTTTATTTCCAGCTGTGCTCATTGAATGATTTGAAACCCTGCTTGGATCTGTGCTAAACCCATGGTAAGAATCACTCCGTGAAGCAATCAAGTCATTTCACATAATCAAAAAATTAATCATAGATAATTAACCAATTAAGCCGTTTTGTTTTTAGTTCACAATACACGATTTAACCTCAGCGTTCTTCACCATTGGTGTCTACTAGGGTGATTGTCAGTCCTAATCCCTGCTGATTTGTTTACTTATCCAGGGCGTCTACATCTAAGTCAAGCCTGACAAGAATTTAGATCCAGCTCACAGCTAGCGCATAATAAATTAACCCCTCTGCCTGCATGTGTATGTGCCAAAATTTTTCCCCTGGATTAAATCCTTGACAGTCTGTTTTGATGCAACATATTTGTCTCGCTTCCACAGGAAGAGCTAGACGTGGATTAAAGCACTGACGGCCCCATCAACACCGAGTGGTTGACGGAGAAGTGCATTGGCGATACAAATCGGCAAGGATACCTTAATCGAAGCAACCTAGAAGCCACATTTTAAGGACGATGGACACCTTGACCCAGAGCTCCATGCTTGAGTGCCAAATCTGTTTCAACTACTTCAGCCAATGGCGCCGTCCCAAACTCCTGCACTGCCAGCATACCTGCTGCTCCGTGTGTCTGAGCCAGATGAGGCTCAGCCAGAGAGAGCTCCGCTGTCCGTGGTGTCGTTGTGTGACGCAGATCCCCGGCGGCCTTTCGGTCTCGCATCTTCCAGACGACCCGGAAGTACTTTCCATTATTAGTCTGTCTCACTCCTCCGAACACACTCCCATCTTTATACACTTACCCAATAGCAGCTGCTACCTGCTGCCTGTCCCTTTGGACACAGATGGGGCGTTGCTGCCTGGAGAACCGGCATGCCAATTTGGTCCTAAAAGCTTTGGGGTGTTAAACGTCTCTGATGGCCGGAGCCTTGTGCTGGGAGATGACACGGGTGAGGAGGAGATGGAGGAGGAGGTGGCGGTTAAGACCACAGCATGGACAGGGGTTTGCACTGTACTACTTGTGGCATTCATTTTGATTTTTCTGCTGTGTATCGTGTTGCATAACATGTCCTGTGTGTCCAAGCGCTTCACTATTATTTCCTGCGGATGAGACAGATTCATCAAATTCAATTGTAGAGGACCTACCAATATGGCTCAATCTCTTATGTGATTTCAGATGTGATTGTGATTATGTACATCACGTACCTATGGTGACTATATATATATATATATATATATATCTCAGTAGATGAGCAAAACGGAATGAAAGAAGTCAAGGGCACAATCTATGCAATTTGTGGTATTTCAAATATCTGTGAAAGCCCTGATTCATTCATTCTTAGGGAATTTGTTCAATTAATGTGCAGAAATGTCATTAAAGAATCTAACAGTATTGACTCCATGTATTTGCATGTTTTGTATGTACCTGAGGGAAATTAACTTGGTCTCTAATACTACAGTAGAGTTGTGCGTTATTGACAGTCTGTAGGAGTTGTGCAGTTTGTGACCGAACAATAAAATGTAGAAATGAAATGACATATTACTACGTAGCTGCTCTGCCTTTAAATAATGTTCATTGCTGTATGTATTTGATTTGATGTTTCAACTAAGCAGTTTCTTTACATTTTTTTTACTAATGTGTTTTGACTTTGCCTTTGATTAAATGAGTGAAAACATCAGTCTCATTAAAAACAAATTAAAATTAATATAAGAACCTTTTGACTCCTCTACATGCTGCTTAAAAAGCTGCACAAATACACTACTGTTCATGTCTGGGGCCAGAGATTGTTTTGGAAAGAAGTTAATACTTTTTTTCAGCAACGATGCATTAAATTGATCAAAATCGACAGTGAAGACTTTTACGTTGATACAAAAAAAATAAAAGCAAAGAAATGTTCTTTTAAGCTCTATATTCATCAAAGAAAAAAAAAAAACATAGTTTCCAACATTAAGAAGAAATTTTTTTTTTTTTGAGCACCTAAACGGTATTAGAATGATTTCTGAAGGATCATGTGACAGTGAAGACTGGAGTAATGAATGACAGCTGAAAATTCAGCTTTGCCATCACAGGAATAAATTACATTTAAAAATAGATTAAGAAAACAGTTATTTTAATAATAATATTTCATAATATTCCAGTTTTTACTATCAAATAAATGCAGCCTTAATGAGCATAAGCGACTTTTTTCAGAAACTTAAAAAAATCTTACTGGCCCCTAATTTGTTAATGGTAGTATGCATCACAGATGCATTTCCCCCAGACATAATTAATGATGTTATCAGTAACTTGTTGGACATTAAATTAGATTAATACATGTACATCTAAGCAAAGTCCCTTTAAGGGTTTTCTATAGTCTTTGATCTAAGTAATAATAATTTTCTGAATACCACATTTGTACATTGATATCCAAATGTGAGATAAGCTCTGGCCCAGTGAGGCTCACCCATCTGCATCAAAAGCTGTCAACACCACCCATCACACTTGATTGATGACAGTATTTTTGCTTTTTTTTCCACCTATTGTTCTTGGAATGCTATAAAAAGAGCACACATCTCTGTTGTATGCAATTTATTGTTTCACATTGTGATGTGGATTGATGCTTTTACAATTTTGGGACAAATCAGTCACTACAGAAACGGGTTGAACGACTTCAGATTTTTTAAAGGCGACATTTATATGATGAAAGTCGAGTCGATGTCGACTAGTTGCTGATGACGTCACTAATGAACAAATAAGCCACTATAAATCTAACACACCCATTATCAATTTTATTTGTTGTAGCTGCTAGTTGCTTAGGCCTACATCATACAATGTCTGCCTGGCATGTTTTACCCTTCTACGATTTTTAATTGTAACAGTAGCAAACCCACAAGAGGTCAGGTGTTAATTTGCACTTTAACATTGAAAGTCTTATCACACTGTGGAGCGCATTCGGAGTATGCATTTATTTGTCATTTTAACTGTTTGTAAACTGAGCGTAATTTCTTATTCTGTTGCGCCCTATATAGGATCAGTGACTAGTCAACGTCAAGCTTAAAGCGTCATGGCAGGGCATTAAACTCAAGTCAACTAGTCAATTAGTCTGTGCAACCCCTAAACCAAACTGTATTGAAGACTCACAAATTATTATGAATGATCAGTTTTTCATCAAGGTCGTATATAGTAAATACATTCTGCTATACTTTTAAATTGTGATCTTATAGTCCAAGTTAAATTATGAATAGACCTGATATGATCTGATATGATAACATCATGTGATATGATATGATATGAAAGACAAATATCTTGTTACAAATGACAAGCATATGACAGTATTCACATTGTACATGTTGTACTCTTAATTAACCTTATTTACCTTACTCTTAATTAATTTATTTTTTTAAATGTGCATTTATAACACTATACTTTGTGTAGTTTTACTCTGGAATTAAATTGCAAAAAATAGTCACCTTAGCTGCAATGGTGTTTCTAATGCAGCTGAGGAAGATATGACAGTTAAAATTGAGACAAAAGTCATTATGACATAAAAAGTAGAAATTATGACAAAACCAGTAATGAGATAAAATCATCATGACAAAAAGTTGAAATTATGAGATAAATAAACATTATACAAGTCAATTATGACAAACTAATTATGACATAAAAAGTCAAAATGTGACTTTGACTTTGTATGACTGTTTCTCATTCATCAATTTCAGCTTTCTATGTAATAATTAAACATTTCTTCTTGCGTGGAAATGGGCTTCCATGTGTACTTCCATAGACTGCTACATTTAATTCCACATTTCAAACTCAGAAATGTGAAAAAGCTACATGCAGAAAAGGTACATTATCCATTAATTTTACAGACATTTCAGCCAACTCAAAAACATAATGTAATGCAGTGCAAATTCAAAATACAGGTAAAACACCAAAAAAATCACCCTAAAAAATCAACACAGAAAATTCCATCATATTAATACAGTACATTACAGTAGATTTTTTTTTCTTTTTGAGTGTACTTCAAAGACTTTGCTTGCACATATAGTGGAAGGGCTTTGTTTTGGATAAAAACATCTGCTAAGTGAATAAATGTGTGTATGTAGAAGAGTGACAGCTGTTACAGCAGCAAAAGGAGGAAGAACTTTTTATTAATCACATTGCTTTAAAAATTAAATGTTTCATAAGAAAATATGGGTGTGGCGTTCCAGCAGTTTTTTTGGGGGCATGTTATTTTGTCAGTATCCATATTTAGAGCTCTGCTTAACAATGCCAAAAGAGCACACCTCATTTACCTTGGCCTGCATATGTCAACATGCTACAGAACTGCACGCATTTGCTGAAATCATGCAAAGTGCCAGGCAGCACTGTACATGATTGATGGTGTTGTCCACATGTCGGTTTCCTCTCTAACTTTAGTAAATCACCTATCCAAAGGGGCCTTTAACAGGCCATTAACACACAACACTGACACAATCCATCTTCACAGTCACACACGCTTACAAATCCTCTAATGCTCTGCACAAGGATGTTGTCATCTGCTTTTGAAATATATATTTGGGAAATATATGGATAAAAAATATTGCCAGGACAAAGAGCTTGGGATAAAAAGGGTAAAAAAAAAAAAAATCTGTTCTGACTGATTTTCAATCTTAACTGTCAGTTGTGGGCTAGAAGACAAATTAATCCCAGCTGACGGCTTGTGCTGCAATAAGAAACCTAAATTCAGAGGGACCTGCATGCTATATCATTTTATTACTAATGGAGCTTGAACAGCAGGTGGTATAGGCTACAACTAAAGAAATAAATGTGTAAAATCACTTTCACGCAAAATTCCTTTCGTGTAGAACAAAGAGTGAAGCATGAAAACCAACAAGCTGCAAACAAATTCAGACATACAGAGACCAAAAATGTGCTCGATTTGAAAATATGTTTTTTTTAAATGAACGTTATCATGAATATTTGACTCTTCTACAGTGTTCAGTATCTCACAATCTCATAATTAAGTTATTAATTTAGTAGCGCATCCAGCCATTAGTAGATCATACCAGCAGGAGGCACTAGTACACTGCAAAACAAATGAGCACAGACCTGAGTAATTCTTTCCCTTCGAAATGCACTTTATTTGTTCATCTTGATAAAGAGCAGGTGCCATTTAGTCACGGTATATAAGGAATGACTCATCTCTAAGCAACATGTTGGTTTAATGAAAATCAGCATGTGATCATCTATTCCCTTTGGTCAATGTGGCTCCACTAATGTCTTTCAAACCTCATTTATAATTTAGTTCCGATGTTCATTAGTCAAAAGCTACAGGATTTGTAAAGGAGATCACATATAGCACACTTCACCTAGATGAAGAATAAATTATTAATAATTGCTAATATAAAAAATGTTCAAAGATAGAAAGCTTTAAATTCTTTAGCTCACAATGCTGTATATGTACTGATAACTGGAATCAGATGTATGAAGAAAGAAGGCTATAAATAAATAAATATTTATCGTGTGATTTTTATAAGAAAGATTTTCACAGTTCACAGCCCAGGCGAACGATTTCATCTATTAGAAAGTCCACGTCCTCCCTCTGAGTGGCTGGGTTGGAGAAAACACAACGGAAGAAATTCACTTTGTCTTCCAGAGGTTGATAGCCAATCATTGTGAATCCTTCCTCCATCATCTTTGTCTTGATTTTTGGAGCCACCTGTGGGAATTCATAATGTCAGCTTACAAGCAGATAAACTGTCTTCCTAAATTTACTGGTTAATTAAGAAATGAAAAGGTTTCATTTCTTGACTCACCATATGAAGTTCTCTGTCTCGCTCTGGGCTTGGAAGAATGCTTTGCAGTCGTTTTGGGAGATACCGAAAGCAGACATTACTGTGTTCGGGCTGAAATAATATGTGAAATATATGAAATCATAAAGCAATGATTTATGTAACGCACAGGGAACCAAACTTCATCATGAGCTCTAACAACTGTTCGAATTATTAAGCAATTTTCATCTTAAAATGTGCTGAAAATTTACAGAAACATGGCACTTACCTTTCCTTTGAAGACAAGCTGAAAGTCTGTTCTCCTCTTCAGTTTGTAGTAAAGATACTCTGCATTTTCCAGGCAGTGGTTGATCTGTGCTTCAAAACCCTCAGAACCCTATAAAGAATTTATTTAATATTTGCTTTCTCTATAAGAAAAAGAAAAAAAAAATGTGTTTTTGGACGGTTGTGCTTCAAGGTTTAGTTTTTGTGTGTGTGTGTGATTTTGCCATATTTAAATCTTTGAAATCTTTGAATCAGTCTTAAAAATGCAGAAGAGAAATAAACATTTTAAAAGCAGATGAAACCAAAGGCTCACTCACAGAAAAGAATAATAGAATATGTGATCCTGGACCACAAAACCAGTCTTAAGTCGCTGGGGTATATTTCTAGCAATAGCCAAAAATACATTGTATGGGTCAAATTTCGAAAAATTGACCCGTATGACTGGTTTTGTGGTCCAGGGTCATATATGGTTATATAAAAGAATAAATAAAATATGTTTTGATATATATATATTTTTTTTATAATTGGGGTACAATTCCTACTTTTCAGTTCTGGATATTGAACTATTTCAAGCAATCTTTTGCCTCCACTTCTTTCATCTTCACAAAAAAAAAAAAAAAAAAAAACACCGCTAGCGCATTATACTGCAGCCATTTTATTTTTTTCTTACAAACCAGTCCAAATTAATGTCAATCCAGAACATTCCTTTAACTCCAAACTTGAATTATAGTATATGAATAAATACAGTGCATGAATAAATAATTTAAACTGACATCAGCCATTGCATTGCTAATTTATTGAAAGCTGAGGAACAAAAAGGAATGGGGCCGTCAGGTTTCCATCAATAAAACTGTTCATATGTTCAACTGCCAGGTGCGTTTCAGCTGAAACTCTCAAACACAAGAGCAAACCAAAATACATTCCAGTGTCCATCTAGAAATAATTCCAAATGAACAATTCATATTCACTGAATTACTCAGAAGGACCTCAACAGATTAAATCTGAATCTAAATTTTAAATGACACTCAGGTCATGTGATCTGCATGTCTAAGGCATTGTTGACTGAACAATTCTACTGTTGGCCAGGAAGGACTGTGTGTCTTCTTAAAGCTGTTATACAGATCTATATGCGGTGTCCCCTAGTGACCTCAAAACTATTTCTAGAAGTTATGAAAGGGGCAATCATCTCAGAACTTTAGATCAACTGCAGGAACATTTCCCACAAGTGCTGACGAAAAGCCACCGCCAAATACTACAAAAATATCTCTAACATAGATATCTTTCATTATCTCCGAGTGCTATTCAGCCAGAGAAGGCAATAAATTACTGTACAGGTCTACATTCTGCCATAAACAATGATTTTAATGATGTTTAATCCCAATTTTAATGTACATTTATGTCTTCACTTGTGCGTATTGGTTTTGGCTGGAAAAAACAAAACAAAACAAAAAACTAGGGGTCAGGTTTGCTGTTCTAGGTACTGTTTAGGAATTGGAGAAGTCTAGAGGCTCTAAACCCCACCCACAAACTTGAAGGACCACCCTCTCATTAGCATAACACTTCTAAAGAGGCCTCTGACGCCCCCTTGTGGGAGGTGTAATTTGGGTTAAGTGCAAAGTAGGATGTCGTGAACAAAAACTTGAGCTTTCACAGTGAGAACTTAGGTCATGATTAATAGTTGAATTATACAGGAAAGTTTCAGTATTAAATGCTAACTGAAAGGAAGTAAACAGACATGAGTGTTTGGACTCTATATGTGCGTATAATTGATTAAATCAGTCCTTTTGCAACTCTTGACCTATAATATAGCGTATGCATGTGTTTCAGAGCGGCCGCTATAAGTACAGCAGTGTGTTCGGAGCGCTGCAGTGTGTGTGTCGGACGGAGGGACCGAAGGCTTTGTTTTCAGGTCTGACTGCCACGCTGCTCAGAGACGCGCCATTCTCTGGGATATACGTCATGATCTACAGCCAGGCCAAATACACGCTGCCACGAGGTTTGTGTGAGAATATACTGGATGCACTTCAGCTTTACATATGTGTGTGATTTAAGTAGGATTTCAGCATTCTAAATGGTTAATTTTACAAAGAAACTTCTAGCTCATATTTATTTTACGGAAACAAAATTTTGCACTGTGATGTTTGTATCTTAAAGAGTCCTTAAAGTGACATGGGGGGATTTTCTTTTTTTTTAGAAAAAAAAAAAAAAAAAAAAAGTATTTTTTTCCATCTGGGAGCTGTCTTTTTCCAGATCACATTTCTGATGGTGGTTGAAAGCACATTTAGTTTGAATAAGGAGATTGTCTGTCAAACCTTTGCCTTCCACATGA